AAAAATATTTTACATTAATAAAATTAATATATTTGTTATAACAAGGTTACAATGAAAACAACTGTTGGTGATATTGAATTGGAATTATGGGCAAAAGAAACTCCCATGGCATGTAAAAATTTTATACAATTATGTATGGAAGGTTATTATCATGACACTATATTTCATAGAATTATCCAAGGATTCATAGCATATGGTGGTGATCTCAAAGGTACAGGAGGAGGTAGTAAAAGCATATGTGGAGAACTGTAATGGAGAAATTTAAAGTGAGACTATATTTAAAAATTAAATGAATGCTTCTTTTCTTCAAAAATAATTATTAGATATTTGTGTTTTAGGACGAATTTCATACAAGATTACTTTTTTGTCGACGAGGTGCAATTGCTGTGGCAGAAATGATAATGATTCCCAATTCTTCTACTTTACTCTTGGTTCTACATCAGAATTGCACAATAAACATACAATCTTTGGTATGTTTACTGGAGAAACTATATATAACATGCTTAAACTTAAAGAAGCACTTGTAGATGAGGTAAAATTAATGTTTATAAGAAAATATATCAAGAATTGATATAAATATAATATTCCCCCTTTTTCGTAGGATGATATGCCACTTTATGCTCCAGAAATGATAAAAGCTGAATTATTGAACAATCCATTTTCTGATATTATACCAAGAATAATAGTACAGGAAAGTGAAGAAGTAAAGGACAGTTCAAAAACTAAAACAGGAGGAGTAAAGTAAAAATCATATATGTTTGTAGCATTTATCCATGATAGTATTATTCTTTGTAATGAAAAATTTTGTTACAGAAATTTCAATCTTTTATCATTTGGCGAAAAAGCAGAGGAAGATGAAGAAGAATCTGCGATATTAACAAGTTCATCATCTTCAGCATTTTCCCGCGATTGCTGTAGAAAAATTATAGATTGCTATAGAAAACTGTTTTTCTTGCATAATATTCTTATTATTTTGTAATAAATTTGTACTGCCACAAAAAAGCGTAAAAAATAAATTTTTTTATGAAGAAATTTTATTTACAATGTTTTCATAGGCGAAAAATAAATACAAAATAAAGATGAAAAAGCCCTAAAACGATGATTATCGGCGGGAATCGAACCGCGGTCCTCCAATATAGGAATTCTCGACTGTTACCACTTAGCCACATTTCCGTGTGAAAATTAGTTTCCTTAAATCTGGAATTTAAGCGGTAATATCACTTTAATCATTACAAAAACTATATAGTAGTTGCGGCTATAATGATATATTTTCTTAAACTGAATGATAATATCTACAAACCTACAAAGTTTTAACTAAATCGGTGACCCGAAGGATTTGTATTCTCGTTGTAAGGTGTAACAGGAAAAGAATCAATAGATCTTGTATAGTACAGCATAATATATATATATTTGTTTACATAGCAGGAAAGTAATTAGCTAATAACTATCGTGACGTTGTTATAGAAACATATACATTAGAAAATTATATGACAACGGTGTCTATAGAAACATATATAAGTCTCAATATATTATATTGTGCGAATGATTTTGTTGCAAATATAGTGATGTGTTTAAAATATAACCTCACTTGATTAAAAAAGTTTACGTTACGACTTGTTATAATAGTGTAAATAAACTCAATTGAAATTATGTCAGTGGACCACAACGAAAAGTATATTTTTGAAGCTGAATGGTATGATAAAATAGCTAGTATTTTGAAAAAATTTTATCTGTATTATTATCCGTTTGATAATACGGTTGAATTGGTACGTTTACGATAATTTTATTGCGTTAACATTTTTGAAACCAGAATTTCAATTATATTTCCTGACTTTCAGTTTGATATAAAAGCTAGAAAAACATTTTTAAGAAGAACAAAATGCGAAGGAATTCAGGCCAAAGATTTTTATGTAGGAGCAACTGTAACAATATTTTCACGGAGTATAAGAATAACAGATTATGCAGATTGTGTCACACGAACAAAACTGCAAACAAAAATGCAAAAGTACCTCATTACTTCTGATATTATTGTCTCTGATTTTGTTAATGTTTTGCAACATATTTTTTTGTTATTTAGGACATTTGCAATAGTAAAACCTAATGTCGTTGATAAATTAGGAGAAATATTAAAACATATAGTTTCCTCTAACTTTCATATTGCAAATATCAAAATGGTTAAATTATCAAAAGAACAGGCAACAGAATTTTATGGAGATACAGGTGAAACCAATGTAGCGTAAGTTATGTTTTAATATTAAATATATCTTTAAGTTTGTAGTATAAATATTACTTTTTGCATTTTTGATTAGGTATTTGGTAAATTATCTCACTTCGGGTCCTATTGTAGCTTTAGAATTATTGGGTGATCATGCAATTGCACGTTGGCAAGAAGTGATGGGACCAGAAGATAGTAAGGAAGCTACTGCAAAAGAACCATCCTCACTCAGAGCATGTTATGGCACAGATAATATTCACAATGCAGTACATGGTTCAGAAAATGAGGAAGCAGCGGAAAGAGTTTGTTTTATTATCTATTATCTACATTAAATTGATACATATTTGGTATCTTTTATATTACATTTTTTAGGAATTGAAATTCTTTTTCCCTGATCCAAAATCTGGCAAAACAGGACCACCAAACACAGCAACATTAGAAAACTGTACTTGCTGTATTATTAAGCCACATGCTGTTCAAGCTAAATTAACTGGTACAGAAGTTCATAGTTAAGATAATAAATAATTTTTTAAATAAATACTATTCTATTACTTTATAATTCATTAATATAGGAGAAATTATTGATCAGATACAAAAAGCTGGTTATACCATTTCTGCTGTACAACAATTTTGTGTTAACCCATTTGATGCAGAAGAATTTTTGGAGGTGTATAAGGGTGTTCTTCCTGATTATGCGGTACATACAGAATAGAACAATATATCTTAATTATAAAAAATGAATTTGTTTCTTAAGAAATAATAGTAATCTTGTCTCCAGGCAATGGTAGGAGAACTACAATCAGGACCATGCATTGTTATGGAAATAAAACATAAAGATGAGAAATATGATGTTCAAGGAGAATTTAGGAAATTGTGTGGTCCTATGGATCCAGTAAGTACAAACAGTGAGTTTCTTAATCTCTGCATTTCTTACTATTTAACATACTTAACATACTACTTATATAGGATATTGCACGACAAGTCAGACCAGATACTCTTAGAGCAAAATATGGTAAAACTCAAGTACAAAATGCTCTACACTGTTCTGATTTACCAGAAGATGGAATCTTAGAGGTAAACTAAATTAATACATTTATCTTTATATTTAATTTTTATATATATAATTAAATATAATATAAATATATATATAATCTGTACATATATTCATTAATTTGATACAGGTGGAGTACTTTTTTAAGATTCTTGATAGCAGTTAAATATTTAAAAACCAGATATTACAAAAAAAATTTAATTACTTTTTAGTATTATGTTTATTATTTAGAATATTTCATGTGCATTTAAAAAAAAAAGAAAATACTGCACATGACTTTTTATATTGTCATTCAGTTTTGCAGATAAAGGTTTTATTAGAAAATGATATTAGCAGTTGACGTTATGTTTATTGCATGATTAATCAAGACTTAAGAGATAAGTGTATGGAATTCTGTTTCTACATTTTTATAATAAAGAATACTTTAATAATTCCTGTATGTTTATCTCTCACTCAGTAATATATAATCTCCCTGCCGTACTCGTTATTTTTTTTATATAGACGTTTAATCATAATGGAATTTCTTTAACTTAATTAAATCATGAAAATGTCAATCACATGTGTTCCTATCTTTTACAATTATTTACATTTTTATTCATTTTAGTTTATAATTCTTCCATGGTCAATTTAAATGTGTAAAATAGTTTTCATTCGGTGTAATAAAACAAAATCTTACTTCTTGAACATATAATAATAGAATTATTTTATAATTCGTACAATGTGATTGATTATTTTCTAATGATTATAAATTGTGTTGAAATATTTTTATCGATGATTCTATTTAGTATATATCTTTCAAATAACTATTCTCCGATAAGTGTATAATCAATCAACGATTATATGAGAAAAGGATGCTTATAATATCCCTAGAAGCCAATTTCGCAACGTCCTACTTTTACAAGTAAACAGGGCCACCAATCCATCATCCTACAATGTTCTGGAAGATTCAAGAAAGTGACTAGACAGACTAATTTTCAGTTATCGTATATTTAAATAAGCCGATAGAGTAGAAAAACATGGGGTTCGCTGTACTTATGGAATATGATCACTGATATCAGTGGTTACTTCGAGAAAAATAAGGAATGCTATCGCCTGCCTAACAATAAAGATAAATTTAAAAGAATAAACTAATTCTTTTACAAATATTTTCTCGATGATTTATGTGAATAGTTTGACTTACGAAGTAAATAGTTCAATGAAATGGAAAGAAGTGAGAGATACCATTCTCATTGGAATCAGTTAAAGAAAGAAAGCAAATAAGAAGTCGCTAACCTGTTATATGTTAATCCTTCGCAACGGATCACCATTAATGGCGAATCCATCCGTTTCAAATTCGCTATACTATGTGCTTATCCTACCTTAATAACGGCATAATAATGTGTGTCAAGGATTCACTACACCTGTTGAGATGAAAAGTTGCAGAAATCTGCTAACTCTACTGCGAGCTACTAAGATAAAACAGGTAGATAACCTTGCAGCATGGTAATGTCGTTACATGATAAGGATGGATGATTAATTTCAATTTGATTTCCGGCTCCCATATATGAAGAACGAGGTGAAACGACGTGGAAATATTAAAACAAAAATTACCAAATTGTCGATTTACTGTATATATCTGGTTTGTAAGTTAAAGGTTAGAATATATTATATATTTTTTATCTATATTTTTCAATATAATTTTAGTTTTAAAAATGCTTTTAAAATATAGAATTATTAAATATTCTTTAATATTTTCGTATTAAATTTATTTAATGATTTATAATATATTGATTCCTTATAATTTTATAATAACGAAATTTTCAATATGACAATTTTTAAAAATGTTTAGTTTTAATATTTATATCCCACAAAGGTGTTATTATGTTAATTTTAGTGATAGAAAATTATTGGCCGTTAATTTACCGAAAAAGTGTCCAATACATAAAAGAATCTGCATTCTAGAAATTCCACTTGAAAAAGGTGTTCTCTAGTGAGTTCTTTTTCTGAATCGGTTTTAGTAGTTTCTGGCTAAAATATTTACATTCTTACTGCGAATAACAAAGCTATAGAGTCATTGTGAGTCGTTCTGATAATTTTGTTTATTATGCACTTTTTTATAAGGTAGTTGAATGTATATATACTTACATGAATTACATTTGAATTCTTTAAATTCTTCTAATTTTTTAATAATATCCAAACTTGAAAGTTTTTAATACTTCACTATCTTAAAACATAAAAATCTATTTTTAGATTATGAATTTTTGATTTCTCCACTTATATATATATAATGTTATGTAATTTTATATAATATCAGATATTTCAAAATTCCAGGGAGATACGAATATACGTAAAATTGAAAAAAATAAGAACTTGTTTATTTTAGAAATAGAAAATCATTGGGTAACTATAAAAAATATTAAAATTATAAGATGTAGATTCTAAAACTTTAAAAACTCAAATTCCTTATTTAAAATCATTTTAGTCGAAAATTTCAATGTCTCATATTATTTATTCTGGAGGTGCTAAATTTGTAATTTTTTTATTGTAGAAGTAAAAAATTTCGAACTGATTATTTCAAAATTTAAAAATTCCAAAACTCCATAAATACTTTCTCGAAAATTTCAAAATTCTATATCGCTTGCACCAAAATTTCCAAAATAAGAAAAATTACAAATTATCACTTAAAAAATTCAAATCTCCAAATTACCCACTTACTCATCATCAATTTCCAAAAATACCAAAAAGAGGGCATAAAAGAATTGACAGAAAAAAAATCAAGTACACTCCAAAACTCTTTAACGTTATTTACACGGTTCAAAATATAAAAATTCCTAAACTCAACAAATACTTACTCGAAAATTTCAAAATCCTGCATCACTCGCCCCAAAATTTGCAAAATAATAAAAATCACAAATTATCACTTCCAAAATTCAAATCCCCAAATTACCCACTTACTCGCAATCAATTTACAAAAATACCAAGAAAAAAAGGCACAAAAGAATTAACAACGGCAAAAAGGACAAAGACCACTTTACACAAGATACACCGACAGGTGCGACCATGATTTTTCAAAATCATCTATCAAAGCAGAAATAAATAAACCACCATAAACAACATATCGGGGCAGGTGCAATCGCAATTTTACAAAATCATAAAAAGTGTAAGACAGTAAAGAAAAACACCACGTACATACAACACGTAACGACAGGTGCAACCATAATTCTACAAAATTATCAAACGATCAAAAGGAAAAAATCAACGGAGGAAGAAAATAAAACCCCATTAACGTGAAACATGTCGCCATTGCAGATGCAATTCCAGAAAAACATTGATGAAAGAGAAAAATTTATACAAAAATCTACAGAAAAATCTGCACAAGAATCTAAAGAAAAATCCAAAGGAAAACTTAAAGAAAAATAGTATACATGATATATGGCGACAGGTGCAACGAAATCCTCACGATGGCGTCGAATGGAAATCGGTATATCGAGGAAAGTGCATCCCGCTGGAATTCCACGGAATCTTACGGAGTACATCGGCACCGGTTCCTTATCGGGCACGCTGCTATCAATGAACATGCGAATCGGCGCGGCCCGTCGCGGTCACGGTCTTAGGTCCGATTGGCGGATTAGAATACGTGTATTTTCGCGCCGGTGCATTGCCACCGAGGATCGGGCCTGGCAGTAGTGCGCTCGACGGCGCGCAGAACGGACCCATCGGCGATCGTCACTCCTCCAGGGTCTGGCAACCGCGATTTCGAGCCCGTTACCGATACCGGATATGTACACATACTGAACCCGTGTGCCTCGACGTTTCGACGAAAGTAACAGCTTCCGGTTTCACCGATCTCGTCGAACTCGTCTGTGAGATCGGTAGAAGAAGAATTTTTTCGCAGAGGAGAAAAGTTTGTCCGTGTTGAGGGGAGCTGGATCTCAAGAAGAGTAGAGGACTCGAAAAATTGAATTTTTATTTAAAAAAATTTCTTTAATTTTTTTTTTTTTTTTTTTTTTTTTTAAATTGGAAAGTAGGCCGTCCTCGTGGCTGGCCGAGAATTCGTGGACGTCGAATTGCTTGATGCCTCTTCTTCCTGGTATTGAATGGTGGACGAACGTAAGTTGTTCATTTTGCTCGGGGTAATTGTTGTTGGTATAGTTAGGTGAATGAAGAGGCGAGTATTGCGAGAGTGTATGTGGATGGTCGAGTGTGGTATGAATAGGCATAGTCTGTTTATTGGCTGGTGATGTTGCTACTTCCTCTTTCGTGTTATCGTGCCGAGTTGAGGTTCTGCGAAGATTCAGCTGAAAAAATGGTAATTTTTGCCACGAAAATTTGGGATTATCGGGATTTCCTGTGAATCGGTATTTCGGCGATTTGGCAAATGGAGTTTAATAATTTTCGAATTTGATAATTTGTTGTTGTGCGATTATTATTCTCACGATACTAGAGATAGAATTTAATAATTTTTGAATTTGGTAATTTGTTGTTACGTTATTATTATTTTTATGGTGATGATTCGTTGTATTACCAGGGGGTAAAATTTGGTAATAGGGGTACCAAATTTGACAAAATTATTGGGATCAAAATTTTTGATTTTGTACCTAATTTGTATGATTATTACTTTTGAGATACTAGAAATAGAATTTAATAATTTTTGGATTTGGTAATTTGTTGTTACGTGATTATTATTTCTATGGTGATGATTCATTGAGTTAGCAGGAAGTAAAATCTGATACTAGAAATACCAAATTTGGAAAAATTATTGGGATCGAAATTTTTGATTTTGCACCTAATTTGTATGATTATTACTTTTGAGATACTAGAAATAGAATTTAATAATTTTTGAACTTGGTAATTTGTTGTTACGTGATTATTATTTTTATGGTGATGATTCGTTGAGTTAGCAGGAAGTAAAATCTAATACTAGAAATACCAAATTTGGAAAAATTATTGGAACTGAAATATTTGATTTTGCAGCTAATTTGTTATTATACGATTAATATTTTTATGGTAATTTTTATGTTACTAGAAATACTAAATTCGGTAAAATTATTGGTTTTGCAGTTATTGCGTTTGGAAAAATTAATTTAATTAATTTAATTAAAATAGGAATGCAGTTGCAGATATTTATGTATGTTGTGACATTTTAAGTAACGAGGGTTAGAAAACTTGGGAAATTGTTTCTGGTTCTCGTTCATGGTTTTGTGAGATGTAATAGTATCTCGCGTGTAATGTCATTTATTGTCTAGTAACATTGTCTAGTAATATTGACGAAAGACATTAAAAGATCTAAAATAATATAAATTTATTTTTATTCTTTTGCAACTTATAACATTAATAATTTAGTCTAGAATTTCACTAGAATTAAAAGTCTGCGATCTAGTGAAATTACCAAATCTTTCTCATAAATAGTAATTTTATAGGTAATTGTTGTAATATTTTGTAGAATTATTTTCAGTCATTCTCTGACATTTTGCAAAATAAAATACAATAATATAAATCGATAGCTGATCAAAGTCTATATAATGCCATCGACAAAAATTATTTTAAATGGTTCTTTTGAAACACCATTGAATTAATTTTTATTAATTTCTGACTAAAATTTCTTTTTTATATCTTTCTGACAAGGGATACTAAAAATTAATCAAAATATAAATTAATATTTTTTGCAGATCAAATAAGATTAACGATTCATGTTTTGACATTTTATTAACTTATAGTAATTCTTAGATTAATAATTCCAAAACATAGTAAATTTGCTTGGAATTAATCTCACTAGCTTAATAAGAAATAAGATTGATAATAGTAACTTTAATTTTTCCTATTATTTTTTATTTATTTTTTATTATTTCTTACAGTTTTAAATCAAGGATATTTTTTAAAATATTCCCCAAAAAATATTTCTCAAATTTCTGTTCTGTCAATTCGATCATTTGCAATTGCAATTTAAGTATTATAATTCTACGTTTAGTTTATTTAAAAATTATAAGCCTAATCATTTGATTATTCAAATACCGCTTTGCAATAAAATATTATTATACTTCGAAGTTTATATATATTATAGATTTATTTACTAACTAACTAACAAGGATATTTTTAAAAATATTTCCGAAGAAAGATTTCTTGATTATTTACAATTTCAATGTAAGTATTATAATTCTATGATTAGGGTAAAAATTCTCTCGCCTGATTATTTGATTATTCAAATACCAATTTACGATAAAATATTATTATACTTCGAAAGTTATATATATTATTCATTTATTCATTAATTAATTAATAAGGATATTTTTTAAAATATTCCCAAAAAAGATTTCTCGATTATATACAATTTCAATGTAAGTATTATAATTCAAAGTTTAGGGTAAAAATTCTTCGGCCTCGTTTGATTATTTGATTATTTTCTATTATTAATTTGACATTTTGATTATTTGATTATTCAAATACCAATTTACAATAAAATATTATTATATTTCGAAGATTGCATATACATTATGCACTAACTAACCAACAAATACTAATTAACAATTATAACAATCATCACAACACTACCGATACAAACTGCTTGTCTCAATTCAATCGTTCCAAAAATAAAGCATCCAAATTCCTCGTTCACCAACAGCCCTAACCTATAAGTTAACTGGACAAAATAAAAAATCTCAGCTTAACTCTCGCTTAAGTGCTCATATCCCAAAACGGTCGCCCCCCTAAACGAAATAAACGTGAGCAGAAAATTACGTTGAATGCAATCGTATTTTCAGCGACGTGAAATATACGTAGAATTATGCAAATCGTGCAATATTTCTCCAAAGTCGAGCAAACGACGCTGAACGACCGTTCGAGTTCGTCCATCTTCATTTTTCAAATTGCCAACCGTCAAATTCTCTGTTTCGCACGATGTCACGGTTAATTCGGCACTTGTACGGTACACGTATGACAGAAGTTTGTGAACGACGAAAAAGTGTCGTAAAAAGGTACAAAAGTGGCATTCATCGATGACGTACAAATTGGCCAACGTTCATGGTCCGCGCCGATGTGGATGGTGACGCATGTCCGAGGGTACTAATAATGTAATTTGTGAGTTCCTTTCAATGCTCTCGACAGACTTCGCAGTCATAGCGGAGCTAATAGGCAAGAATTTTTAATAAAGCGCCGCTTTTCAGCGCGATCGCCCCCGACGCGACATTCGGTGAATTTTAAATTCTCGCCAATTCCCGCCGGCCGCCATTTTTCTGGCAGCGAATGGCCGCGGCCGACGGGATTTCGCGGAAGTCGAGGAAAATGGAGGAGGGAAAAATTCGAATTAAGCGACGCCCGTTTTAATCCGATGCTTTGCTCGTTTTAGTATCCGTTAATGGAAAAAACACCATGCGAATGATACTAAATGATGGAAGGGTAATTATAGTCGTCCATAAACTAATTTATGAATATTCGTTAACTCCACCTCTCGAATTTTTAAAAAATTATTGTGCCAAGATATTCGATTGATGATTATTTTTTTATTTTTAAAGTGAATTTCTGCTGTTTGTTTTATAGTGTTAATCGCTATAGACTACTAACTATATAAGTTGTTCATGGGGTAAAGTGATTAACTCCATTTTTTAATTTAAGAAAATTTATCGTGCCAAGATATTTGACTAATTTTAAAATAAATTTCTGCTTTTTATTTTATGGAGTTAATTACTATGGGCTACTAACCATATGAATTGTTCATGGGGTAAAGTCATTAACTCCATTTTTTAATTTAAGAAAATTTATTATGCAAAAATATTCGACTGTTATTATATTCTGTCTATTATTTTATGAGGTTAATCACAATAAACCTAATCACTATAATCATATAACATGAGCTATTCATGGGTCAAAATTTTTGTTTGAAGTTAAAGTTTTTATTTAAAGAATTTTTTAAATATTATTTCTTATTTCGTAAAACTAGTCGATTTGGCAAATAAAAATGTATAATTAACAAAATTTTGTTAAACTAATTTTTGATATCTGTTATACATTCTCATTTTTCATTTAAATAGGTCAAATTTGTAAAAAAGGAAATATAAATTTCTCCTATATTATTCTTTGTAGTTTTAAAAAAAGACTATACAATTTTTTGTTTAAAGGCTTATGATTACACTGATATTTATGATTTATGGGGGCAGGGGGGGGATAAGGAAATAATAATAATCTAACTGGGAAAAAATTGGAATTATTTATGTTACTATTCAAAAGTTTGTAATAATTTCTGATAATAAGAAATAATATGTACCAAATTCAGGCTATTATCGAGGTTTCTTATTGAGTAACTATGTATATCTATTTAATGTTTATACATATATATTTACGTGCATATTACAGGTTGATAGATATACAATTAAGTATAGCTACTAATTCATTCTCTTTACCAAAACTCGACATTTGAGACAAGCTTTTCTTCTAAAATTCTCAGCAGCTGATAATTCATAGCTCAATTTCTCAGTCAATATTGCATCCCTTCTATCTGGGCTTAACCTAACCTAACTTTATTCAAGTATTGATATATTTCTCAGGAAATGTAACTCAAAGATTATTGCAGTAGTAACAAATCAGTGTTCATCTGTGAGTACATCTGTATACAACTCCATTCTACCTAAATCTAAGTTTAAATAGTCTGTTTTGACTAGTCTGATGGTCTGTTCAGTTGTACTAGGCATTACTTCCAACCTTGTGGTTGTATTTTAATCTGACCAGTTCAACAATGTTCCAAAATCCAAGTGTTCCATCCTATATACCTAGAAAAGGGATTTTAATCTTCAAAATCGTATCTCTGTTGAGAGATTTTCTCCCAAAGCTAATGGTGTCTTTAACAGATATAGATCAAGAACCTCTTCTCGTTCGAATATCCAATATTTCTAAGTAATCAAGCTCTAAATAATAGTAATAAATCTCCAGGATCTATCGTTAATCATTTTCAGTGTGTCTACATAGGATTAAACATAACTGTCTGCACGACAAGCTTCGTTGAATCTTCCTTGGATCTTGATCGAATATTCAATGTTGCTCAGTTAGCTAGGTCTAGCTTCCCTAACGTCATAACCGACCATCAGTCCTCAAGATCTCTTATAATCATGTTCAGCATAATC